AACGTCGGAGAGGTATGATTCAGTAATTATCCGTCACCAACTGAATCAACTTCTTCAATATTTGAGTCCGAGCTCTTTGCTCCAGCTGACCCATGAGCATTTCAGGACCCTACCAAACTTGCATAACCAACACCTTAAGAGAGGTTAAACATAGCTTCATATGGACGCAAAGGTACTCGTGCTAAGCATAATGGAGAGAGTCAAGGCCCATATCCACAGAATGTGCGCAACTTCAACCCCTCTATAAAGACAACGGCATCCGGTCAACGCGTAACCCTGTAGGTCAACGCTAATCGCCGATGTGCGAACGCGTCTAACCCGTAAGATCCAACACTACAGTGCATCACACACTCGATCGAGTTCATAATACCCCCTAGGTCAAGCCGACTGCGGGACCCGCAAGGACCCACCCCCACCCGTAAACCCGCGCATCAAAGTGACGACAGCTGTAGGTCCAACCGCCGATGACACAACATCTTGCCGATCATCAAACATAGAAGGTCAACAGTGAGACGTTGATATCGAAAATTACCCTGGGGGTAGGGGGGGGGGGTGAATAGGGTACTCAAACAATAAATGTGCAATTAATGAATTTCAATGCAATACAAGACACAATTAAGAACAATGGCAATAAATAAGAGAGAGAGAGAGAGAGAGAGAGAGAGAGAGAGAGAGAGGGTTAGAAAATAGTTATTCAAATGAAGTTTCGATATGTTCACGAGGTTCAGTCCTCTCCACCTACGTCCCCGACCACCTCTCCCGATGGTAAATCCACTAATCACACCCGGTTTGGAAGCCAAAACTTCTTCACAATGATCTCCACAAGATCAACCTCACTACAAAAGTGATCTCCTCGAGATCAAGTTCTCCACAACACAAGATTGATGAAAGAGATCTCTCTTACAAATATCCTATAGCAAGGATTGAGAGATGACAAATGAAGCTTGGGGTTTGTGTGATTTGAAAGTGAAAAGTTGTAATTTAAAGAGATGAAAGTTTGAGATCAAAAACACACAAGAAACAAACTTAGGGATTTTTTTAGCTTGCTTGGTTGCTGAACAAATGGGGTCCGGAAAATATATATAGGCACTTAAAACAATAGCCTAAAACCCAAGAAAATCATCAAAAATAACAAAATCCCCAAAATACCAGAGTTTGGAAATTTGACTGTTACAGTACTTTCGGTCGACCGATAGACCATGGCCGGTCGACCGACTAGATGATCGTTGGTAGACTAGAAAATCTCGAGCTCATTCGATCGACCGACAATGTTGTCGACTGAACCTACGCCATCGGTCGACCGAATGTTATGTGTCGGTCGACTGATGATCGATTGTCTACAGGGTCTGTAAATAGACCCTCCGACCGGTCGATCGACGGGTAAAGCCCAGTCAACCGGAAATGGATACTTCCAGACACAGGTTTTTAGTTGAAAATCTAATTTTGTAAATTCAAAATAAAATAATAAATAAACTCTAAAATTAGTAAAATTTTGGGGAATGATTATAAACAAGAAAACAAACATGTTTGAGAAGAAATTTTTTGAAATCTCATTTATCGTTTGTGAAAACTCATTATTTTGTAAAATGGTTAAAAACACAAGTGTGTGTATGTGATTCTCAATAGCTTCAAATGTTATCTACTAAAATTCTTGCCTACATTATGTACTAGAGAGAAAATAAATATGCAAATATCTCTTACATATGAATACAAGTCTTGAGTTTGATATTTGCTAATTGTTGATGAAGCTCCTCTTGAAATATATATTGCACTTGAAGGCTCTTATTCATCAACTTGTCTCCACCTCCTTGGATGTCATTGTTATAGCGTAAAATCCATCCAACCTCCAATTGTGGCACTAAATTGCTTGACAAAGTACATCCTGTATTATATCACTCAACAAGCAATTAGTACCTATAATGAGGTTTGTAAATCATCATAAAAAAGAGACCTAACAAGGGCTCCCTAGTATGTCGAGGACCGACACCTAAAGGCCTAATCAACAGCGTCCTCGTCGTCTCCCAAGACTCCGTGTCGATCTCACTAACCCGATGATGATAAGGATATACAAAACTCGAAGGAACCGCCTCCTCCGCGACTGGCTCTTTTCCCTGGCTACAAGTTAGCTCAGATGGAACGACATGAGGTCTCTCCTCCTCTGTCTGAGCTTCGGTCTCGACCCTAGCCTCAAGATGCACCTCTTCTCCCTCTTCCAAAGCCTAAGACCCATCATCTAGGTGTATGACTTTGGTCTTGACTGCCTCAGCCACCCATCCCGGTCTCTGGCTATTGACCTTCCGAGGTATCCTCCTTGCTCTCACAGCTTGAGCGGTTGAGGGCTCTGGTCTTTCAACCCAATCGGTGTGTCGGCAACTAGAGCGCGAGACCCTGTAGCCTCCCCCCCAGTGGCCAAGTTCTGGCGAAGGCGTTTTGCCGGCCTTGTCGGTGGTCCTTCCTGAGGCTCGACAGGCGAAGCTGTAGGCGCCTAACCTGCTCATCAGGGACAGTTAGCCTGGCCACCCTCTCTTCATCCTTGGCCGTAGCGGATATGCCAGCAACTCTCAAAACAGAGTTGTCAAGTAGATGCTCCATCTTACAAGAGCTGACATACGCTTTGATAGGATCTAGAGCTTGCTTCTTCGCATCCGACAGTCTCCCCACTGTCAGGGCCTCCCTTATTATCTCTGGCCAATGGGAGTAGCCTAACTCTAAGTCGTCTCTCAAGACCCAGACGAATCTCTCTTTCTAATCTCTATTCGAGCCAGGAAGGTCAAGGATGACCCTAAACTTGCCCAACGCTTGGAAATGGTAATGTTCTTCTTTTTGGTGCACTTTAACATCAATTGGATGACCCAACACATTCAAAGACGGTTCAACCTCCAGCCATCTGCAGATTACCATGTACCCCCCCAACATTACAATAGCGTTTGGATTCATTTGCATCGGCGACACCGCTATAGCCGTGAACACGAGGCGGAGGAAGATGTGCAGAGGCAGGCGCAAGCGAAATTCCAAATGCTTCAGATAGAGGGGAGCCCGACTGTTGTCATGGTCATAAACTACCTGTGATCTAGTCGGCCCCGTTAGCTCATAACAGCGGGGGTTATCATACTTCCCGTGGAGAGATCTAACTTGAGGTAGTGTCACCTTGGAATGGATCCCTGCCAACATTTTTTGCCTAACGTTGAGACTAGAGGTCGCTATTAGTACTATGAACCGTTGTTGGAAGAGATGATCGGAGCACTTGACAACTTCGAATTCAAAATTTCAAAAAGCAATAAACGCTCCCTCGCCACTACTACCCTATTTATGGTACAACTAGGGCTCTAACTGCCAGTTCTCAATAGACGAGCTAAACCCTAGCTGACAGTCCAGACTAATTCTAGAACTCGAAGCATCTCTTCTCAAATCGAGACAAAGCGTGCTCACCTTGAATAGTCCGCAATCTCGCATGAAATACGAAGCGATAGCAGTTGAAAAGAATTCGTTGACGTCAGCCATCTCGCATCCAAAGAACTTTTCAGATCCCACATTAATGCCTCACATGACTCAGCGAGAACTGTTATATTTCACTCGGACCCGTCCTAGGCCGGCTCCAAGTAAAAGAGACCAACAGTTATAGCCGTTTTAGTGATGACAAATAATCTTTAATTAATAACAGACAAATGTCCCACATTATACATAATCATGTTAGCATTTCAGGATAATCAAAGGCTCAATCCGGTCGACTCGACACACTGACATTTTGCAAGGACGACTCAAAAGGCGTTACATGTCGATGACCTGAAAGACATTACATGTTGTCCCCCGGCTAAGTTCACTGCTTAATCACTCCACTCAGCCGACTAATCAGTCGACAACATACGAGGGCGACTCAAGAGGAGGTACTTTTTGACATCCGGATGAGTCAGAAGACGACGAAATGCCTCAAGCCTCGAGCCCCCTCCTGTGCACTGTTGACCAATCATCTCGCAGTAAATACCATTAAATGCATTATGGGCGCCATCATTCCTCTGCCCCCAATAATCTTTATGATACATGGGACCACGCCAGCACCACACACCCCCAATCACTTTGCATTAAACCTCAAAGTGACCTCCCCCCACTCATCGGCGGACACTTGCAAAGCAGAGGCTAACTTGGTCGCCAGCTCACACTCGGCCTAAGTTACCATTCTACCCTTCTACCATTGCTATAATAGAAATACTATTTTCAATAACATGGTAAATTTTTTTTACTACTACTCTCTGAGCTTAAGAACTACTGCAATTCCTTTTATTTCTCCACATAAGCAAATCACTAACTTGATCGTCGGAGGAACAACCATGGAATCAAACCCTACCCGCTTACAATTTGCTACATGTGCAGATAAGATCAGCTTATCTCAGAACCGGATATTCAGAGAGTTAGATGACCTCCGTCAATTTAAGCAACACCTTTTATTTGAGGGTGTGATTTCGTACATCAACAGATATTAAGCCACACGAAAATTTTGCAGTTCTTGGACAAAATCCTTGATTTTATAAATGAAGAAAATACCCTTCAAAATTTCAATGTTAGGCCATATCTCATTGAGCTATTAAAAAAATCTTATAAACCGCGCTAACAAATAGAGTAATAATTTCAAAGTATGGCAAATTAAAGTTTGTAATTAAAAGTTTAAACGAAGAGTAATTATGTGGGAGAATATACTCAATTACCTAACACAATTTATGAGATTTTACAAATAGTTGTGAGAACTTAGTAAAGTGAAAGCTTATGGGTTTCCTGCGATTTACGAAGTCTCCAAGTGTTTTGTGCAAAACCCTCCAAAGTTCAAGGGGGATTTTGGTGAAGTATGCCAGCAATAAACCAGAAGACGGGGGGTTTACTGAAATTTTCCACCTCAAAACCCCAACAAGTGAACTGGCTTACCTGTACTCGTTCCCATCAGCGGAGCTTCCAAAGTCGACCCCTTCTCGATCTCATCGCTCTCTCTTCG